AGAACTTTTCTGATAAGGTGACCTCTGAGTAGAGAGTATTTGGAAGAGTATTTGCAGGAGTGAGGCATGAGGATCTGGGCTGAAAACATAATAGGCAGAAGGAAAAACAAAGGCAAAGGTCCTGAGCAAAGAGTGTGCGGGCCCAGGTGAGGCAGTGCAGGTCACACAGGATCTTGGGGGCCCTGAGGCCTCTGGAGGAACAATTAGGAGGGTGTGGAGGAGGAGGAGTCACAAGAAGTGGCCACATTCAGAGTATATTCTGGAGCTGAAGACAACATATGCTGTCAGACTGGACGTGAGAGAAAGGGCCAGAGATGACTCCAAAGATCTTGCCTAAGCAGTGTGTGGAACGAAATACCTAATTAGAAAGTGAAGATGGAAGTTTACTCAGGGCATGAAAATCCTCTTCCGGATACCTGAAAATAGAGATAAGGGAGAACAGGGGTCGAGAGCTGCTAGCATGAAGAGTGAGAGCCTATAAAAGCAACAGCTGTCATTTCAAAATTGATGGAGGCGGGAGATGAGGGAACACATGTAACAACTGCACGGTTTTCTACGTAATGTGAAAGAAAAGGAGGATGGAGCCCTGCCTGAAAAGTACTGCAGGGAGGATTAAGTGGGATAAAGCGCCTTTCTCTTTTATAAAGTGTCAAGCACTATCCAAATGTGAGTGAAAGGTATTAGAGAAACAAAAGAAAATGTCACAGGTGAGTAATGTCAAACCAACTGTACACACACACACACACACACACACACACACTTTACAACTAAATATCTGGCATTTATATATAACGAGGCTTTATAGTAGGGTCAATGCCATTAGTCTCGTTTGGATGATACTTTAATAAGTGATGTTATAGTAGCATATTATGCCCAGATTCCTTATGTGTTTAAAATCAATCAAATAAAAAAAAAAAAATCACACTTTTGTAGGTTGAGTCAAGATCCCAACAACTGCAAAACAGCATTATTTTAAATGAAAACATATATTCTGAACTGTAAACAATTGAGTTTCTGTTCAAGCTTGTGAATGAGAAAAACAAATGGCAGGGGTTAAAAAGAAACAGAAAGAGAAAATGAGAGACAAGACATAAATTCCTTTCTCCTTACATATGGCTCACTCCAAAAAAAAAAATGAGTCCATTAACATAAGTAAAACAGATGCTGTCTTTCCAGTGAAGCTGAACCTCCTGAATTCTCAGTATTAAATAAGATTAATGCTGTCTTTGCATAAAAGCAAAATGTTATATGAGTTTATTAAATTTGATTCATTCCCTCAAGAAATCGTGAAAACCAATTAATGGATCAATTCATGCAAATAATATGTCTATTCTTCAGTAATGCTGGTTAAAATTATTGTTCCTGTGAAAAAATACTCAGAACCAAAAATTTGATTACTATAAATCCATGTTTAATTAATCACTAAAAAGTATTCATCATTTTGTGCCTTACTCATGACAATACCTGTTCATTTTTTTCTGCCTCTACATAATCCCAGATGACAAGTTTTCAAAAGTAAAAGATATTATATATATATTATGTACTGCTTATTACATTTTGGAAACAAATTCATAGAAAAATAAAAGAATACCTCTTGTAAATGTGAGTCTTTCTTTTTGGCTGATAAATTCAAATGTTTATCAATTAGGCTATAATTCTTTTCTGTCTCTTTGTCAAACTTCTTTTTTTCCTCCTACAAATCAGAAAAACAGAGACAACTATGATTAAATGGAAAAAAATACAAACACATACTTAATCCACTGGGAAGCTCAAAATATGAGAAATATCTAAATATAAAACAAAGTACCACTGAATGAAGCTATCTGAAAAACATATCTGTACCCAGACCACTGCTTATGAAACATCAAGACAACATAAGGATTGAAGAGATGCTTTCTTTTTTTCCTTTAAAGGGCTTTTTCCCAAGCCTGTTATTTTTCAACTCTTCATAATTATCAGTGTTGAGAATTAATGCTATTTCATTAATTCCTTCCAAAAAAAAAGAATACATAGTAAGAACAACATAAAGCTTAAAAAAGAAAACTTGCTCTAGATTTTGGCATAGAAATGGAATTCATTTACATTTGAACAAGTTTTATTCTAGATCTTTAAAAAATCATAATAACCACTGTTTGAAAGAAACATCTTGGGAAAGATCTTCCCTAATGGTCCAATTTGAATATAACAATAAGATCCTCCAAGCAGAAACGTCATCTACTCTCCCAGACTTTGCCAGTGATTTCTATAACACCATTTGGAATATGTTTCCATAGGTCACCAGGGCCTAAGATAACACTGACATATTAGGATTGAGATCCTTCGGTTAACATTATGAACATTTCTTAGGTACTGCCCTAGACAAGTATTTGCTTTCCTCCTGCTACGGAAGCTTTTTGAGAAAATAAGTAACCAAAATTTAAACACAGAGAAGACAGACTATCTCCCTTAGAGCTGCTTGCCAACTTGGTAGATTTTTAATAAACATTTTTAAACGTCAGTGAGAACAAACTATGTCCTCACTCTGTCAAAAAAATGTTTCCATTAACTTCAAACTATCCCTAACTCTCCACCACCTCGTAGAAGGAACAGTCTCCTCCCTATTTTTCAACTTCCATCTTCTAAAGCAACAATGAGTTATTTGGCCTTTTCTGGTAAGATTTTTCTTTTCGTATAAGGCAAAAAGTTAAACAAAGCATATTAATTCTACTTCTTTGCATTTATCTCTCCCCACCACCCTCCCACGGGACTATAAACTGTTGTTCTGGGAACATAGGACAGTATGTCCTCTGCCAGGTCATCTGAAGACCCTATATTAATCCCCGCATTGATGGAGGAGAGACTCAGGAACTGGTGTTCCTTCCAATGTCTACTCCAAGTCTAATTACCAACTAGCCACACAACATCAAAACAAAAACCCCATCTGACAACACAGAACCTAAATTTTTGTATCTTCTTAGATCTAATCCTAAAATTCTGTGATCTGATGGTTCACCTATGTGTAAGAAAGGAACAAAGAAACAGGCTGTTTTACTTTATTCTAATTTCATTTACTTAATAGTCACTCTTTTGTTGAAATAGAAGCACTTTATTTTTCTTTATGTCTTAGATATTTTTTAAAATTTACCACGAATTTTTTAAAGTCTAAGGTATTAATATTACAGTGCGTGGTTCATCTCTTTCCTGCTTTTCATTATTATGCTCTTCAACTAGTTTAATGACTAACAGAAAATAAACTAAAACAAACATATGCCCATTACCTCAAATCTCCACTATTTAAAAAAGTTGACAGTGTGGAATACACATTGGTTTAGGTGTCAGAAGACTCAAGTTTTAGTCCTGGCCACTTATTACTCTGTGACTTTGCACCAGGGTCACAGCATTCTCTGATCATCAGTTTCTCAGGATTAAACAAAACGGGAATGGAAGTCATGCCTCTGCATTTACCACAAGATTGCTGCAAAGCAAGATCACACAGGAAGAAATGTTCACTATCTTAAAAAACTAGCACTTACCAGCAAACATTTTTACTCACTCATTTGATTTCAACTGAATCACAGAAAAGAACAAAAGCAGCAGGGATGCTGAAATCAGCAGTTGGAACACCCAGCACACTCAGCAAGAGTAGGGTATGTAAATTAACATGTGGGTAAAGTCAGGAATGAAAGAAAATGGTGATATCCAGGCTTTGTGCAGAAAGAATTTAGCCCAGAAGCAACATTACACCCACCAATTAGAACAGAAATACATTCGTTCATACATGGTATGGTATTATACAAATGCTACTGTGTTCTGTTCTTGAATCTTAAGGCTTAGCTCATGATTTCTTCCTGCATTTGTTCTTAATGTCATTAGAGAATATTATTCTGCTCCTCTGTGCTCACAAGATTTCTTGTGCTGAAATAATATGAACTTTAAAGAAGACTGTATTCAAGTAGCACTCAATAAAGAATGGGGGGTTTTCTTTCCCCCAACACTGCATTACAGGAAATATATATAATATAAATTGAGAAACGTAATCCAAAAAGTTCCATCAAGGATCAAGTTAAATACAACATGAAAAATTTTCTTATAAAACAGACATTACAAACTCAAGTGGGTCTAGATCAGGTAGAAACATAATGAGTGGAGCTGGCTGGGAAAGAAATTCATTAGGAAGTAGTGAGGCAAAGGTAACCCAGAGAGCCCCAGTCTGCTCTAGAAGGGAGGGCAGCCACCACTCAACCAGGGCAGATTACTTCCTTGTGGGAATTCAGGCCCAGTATATAGGCCATGTCTTCTGATTTTTCTCAAATAGCTGGAAAAACCTATTGATTCTTAAATGGTGGCAATGAATTTTTTAAAACATTTAACAACGCGAGTAAGCCAAACAAAGTTTATGTTTAAATATGACTCACAAGAAGTCAGCTGGTAACTGTTATAAAATTGCACATGCCAAAAAAAAAAAAATTGTAAAGAAGAGCTACTACTTAAAACAGCACAACTGGTCAAATAAGACCAAGTAAGCCAAACAAAGTTTATGTTTAAATATGACTCACAAGAAGTCAGCTGGTAACTGTTATAAAATTGCACATGCCAAAAAAAAAAAATTGTAAAGAAGAGCTACTACTTAAAACAGCACAACTGGTCAAATAAGACCTACGCTGTATAAGTAGCAGATGGAATTCATGAACCTAAGAACCACAATCCAAATAATGAGATCACCTGAGTACCATTAGAAGTAAAAACATAAAGGTGTCATCACAAATTACTGGGTTAAAAAAAAAAAGATTATCCAACCAATAGTGCTGGTATAAGTGTTTAACTACTGGGAAACAGAAATAGAACCCCACCTCATATCAAATTAATTCCAGATGGATTGAAAGAGTCACAAGTAAACAATGAAGCCAAAAAAAAAAAAAAACATTTTCATTGTATCTCAGAATAGAGAAAGGCCTTCTAAGCAAAAAAGGAAATGGAAGAAGCTATAAGAACTTCTAGATATCAACAAAACACAACAATCACACTAAAGGATAAACAACAAAGTGGGGGGAATTACAATAAATACATGAGAAAAGAAGTAAACGACAAATAAAATATTCTTTAATAAGCAATTTTTTACTAAAACCACACATTAATAGTTCTATGGAAAAGAGATAAAGAACATAAAGAATTCACAAAACTTTGGACATAACTGTAAATACTCCATTTTTCTACAGGGCACTAGAGTTTTTTGCTTTATGTTGGAAGAGAGGAAAACTTTTTCTTAAGGTACCAGATGACTTTTGTTGAATTTTCTATAGTTTACAAATTTTCTAGGATGAGGAAATAAAAAGGCTTATTTTCAAACTATACACATTAAATATTGTTTAATTGTTTAACGTTTGAAATATTAAATATTGTTTGTTTGAAGAGTCTAGAGAAGAAATTAAATACTCTCTTAGAGATTCCAACTCCTTCCCCCTTTTAATTTAAATAACGAGGTGAGGGTAAGACCACACATAGGTTTGAACGTCAGGTTCATACCGCATGTAATAAAATCAGCAGGAGCACTTTTTAAAACACAGTCCTGCCTACACCAGCTAACCAAAGTGTATGATGCCTGCTGCTGTCTTCCCCTGGTCTACCAACCTCCTACAGGTCAAATCTCACCTCTTCTGTGAAACACTCCCTACCCTTTGCCTAATTCCTACACCAAATGTCACCTATTTCTACTTGACACTTCATTTGCCTTATCCAACCCCATCTCGCCCCCTTCCTTGAAACTCCTTTAGCCTCTCTAAAGAGATGAGAATTCAGCTTTTATTCCCACAGAATCGAGCGCCTGACTCCATGTCCAGGAGACATCTGTTAGAGGACAAGTGAACAGCCACCATAGGACTGCAGCCACACCAGCACTGACAAAGTGCCACCGTGGCTTTCTGCACAGTTGCTTCACAGTCACCTATCCAGCACATTAGCATGACTTAGCCAAAAGGGTCATAAGCCACAGTGCTCTGGCTCGTCACCCCTGAACCCAGTATGCAGAGAATGGATAAAAACCTGAGCAATTCTCATTTGACAAGCTGGTAGGGAGTGAGCCAGACGTCGGATAATAAAATAATTGCAACTATACATGCCAGGCCCTAGACACTTGAAGTCTATTATCAAAATCACTGAATTCTCACAATAACCTTCTGAGACAGGTATCATTAATCTCATTTTACAGATCAGAAAACAGAGGCTTAGTTAAGGCTGGTCAAGGCACCCAAAGAGGATTCAAACCAGGAAGAACCACTTCTTCCTGAAAGACTGTCTGGTGCTCCAAAGCTGAGACGGTAGGGTACATTCCAGAGCACCTCTGCTTAGCCTCATGACAGCACTTTTCACAGTGTATTTTTATGGCTTTATTTGACAGTCTCCCACAGAGTTGCTAATTTCTTGAAGGCCAGCCAGTGTTTTAATTCATACTTGTATCCCAGGGCCTACACTATACCATATAACAGGCACTAATAAGTGTTTTATTACTAAAATGAAAGACATGTACTTAAATTAAACAAACATTGTTTCTGCTTTATTAACATAATTTAATATGGGAAATCATTCAGATAGGTTTGTTTTTTACCCACACTTTGAAGTCATTTACAGAATCTTGGGAAGTCAGTTTTTATTAAAAATGTTTTCATTATACATAATATTGGAAAGAAATATAAAAGAAATCTGGGATGAGGGTCTGGTAATGGGCTGAGGTGATAAGTCATACGAAATGAGCATTTTTTCCAACCCTTCTGGTTAAACTTTTTATTCTATTAGATAAAACTATAATTGGCCCTTTCCAAGTTAGCATTTGAATAGACTCTATTATCAATAGTTTAGTTGTATCACTTGATATATGCATACTGCTGCTTGCTTGAACCCACATCTTCATTACTTGATTGGTCGAATGTCTGAAAGAGCAATTTTAAAGTAGCCCACCATAACTCTCATCCTGCTCTGGTGTTTCTCAGAGTTTTTCCTCAATGGACTTGGCTCCTGTGTTGTTTGGTTCCTGTATGAGCTTCCTGTGACTAAGTCAATATCTAATGAGCAATGGCTATCAACAAAGTATTGTGGGACACTTGGGACTAAGCGCCAAGCTCAAGGGAGGCAAAAGAGCTTGAAATGGAGATAAGAACTGAGCGGGGCCCTGAAGAAACCTCGGAACAGTAAATTGATGTGATACAGCATGGACAACACATGCTGCACGATGGCAATTGGGCTTTTTAAACAGAGGTTAGAACCCAGCAAGCATGTAAGAAAATGCAGCAGAATCTACCAAATGGAAGTATAAGCCCAAACCAAAAAGATATGACTCAAGGAGAACATATCCAAATGGAAGCAAAACAGTAGAAAAGAATACCATGAGGCTTTTAAAACATCCAATCTACCAAAACCACCTAGCAGCTTAAATTACATTTAAACCACAGCTAAACAGGTAATTGGGCTCCTGGAAACTGGAGAAAGCATGAGTAGAGGGAACTGAGAGAGCTCCAGCACGAAGGCAAAGGCCATGGCATTTCCAGACGGGAAAAAGGAGAAGAGGAGAGAGAAGATAAAAATGTTGACACTGAGAGCTAAAAATTCTCATATGGTCAACTTTTTTGTCTTTTTTTTTCATGTCCGGCAACAGATCGCAACCCTCAGTGTCGCGCCCGTACGGGACCGGGACCAGCAATGGGATCGCAGCCCTCGGTGCTGCACCCACACCTCGCTCAGCCAGTGAGCGGGAACCGGTCTGTATGTGGGATCTGAACCCTCGGCGGGAGCGCCGCCAAGCTCCCAAGCGGCGCACTGTAGCAGTGCGCCACCGGGCCGGCCCCTCATATGGTCAACTTTTAAAGACTTTTTTTAATCCCTACATGAAAATTGTCATATCATTTTTTTAAAAACTTTTTTTTTTTTTACCTAAGTATCCTATGTAAGCAGATTGACCAGACGAACAAGGTTATGTGCTTGTTAAATATGATTGCACGTTTAGAAAGCACAGATGTAGAAAGTAATCAAATATCCAAATTAGAAAACATTTCCTGGTTCTTCTAGAACTATTGGTTAAATAGGTTATTTTTAGATATCTTACATAGTAAGACAGAGTGGAGGCTGGTAGAAAATAAAGAAATAAAGCATGGTCTTCTCTCTTAAAGATGTAACAACCTAATAGAAGAGACGGATGTTTATACATCACTATACAACACAAGCAACCACCTATCTCTCCTGTTTATTACGATATACAAAACTGTCAGTGAAAGAAGGCTTCTCCCTGTGACCCACAACAACTAGCCTCCTTGCAAGTAACATATGGAGCTTTGACACCCAACACACACACTTTACTGGACAAGGAACACAGGATAGATCCTCATAAACATGAAGCTAGAGAACAAGGAAGGGACAAAGAAATGGGACTTCTGGATAGAATTCTGTCACTAAACAGCTCAAGACAGACTAAACTGTTGAAATAATTTCTCTTTTTTTTTTTTTTTTTTTAAAGATGACCGGTAAGGGGATCTTAACCCTTGACTTGGTGTTGTCAGCACCACGCTCAGCCAGTGAGCAAACCGGCCATCCCTATATGGGATCCGAACCCGGGGCCTTGGTGTTATCAGCACCACACTCTCCCGAGTGAGCCACGGGCCGGCCCTAATTTCTCTTTTTAAAAGGGCGATTTATTCTGCAAATTGCTTTGTAGGATATACTCTGAACAAGCATAATGTCAGAAGCTGGAAACATTAAGGTGGGGCAGGGAGGAGTCAATAGAAGATTCAAGGTCAGGGAATTTTAAAACCCAATACGGTAGATAGCAAGTAAAAAGAAAATACAAATTATATCATACTTATTTTTTTCATTTCCATAATACAATCTTCACCCTCTCCCACCACCATGCAATTAAAATAAGAAAAATAAAAGGGCATTGTTTACATGCAGTACCTGCCAATGAAATGTTAAGAGAAAGAACCAATATGTTCAAGCTTTAAGATAGTCTAAGGAGACATGATCAGAGAAAACAGAATCATAAAACTACAAAATAGAGTAGTTCTGATCCCCAAGTCCTTCATTTTATAGATAAGAAACTAAGCCAATTACTTGCCCAAGGTCACAAAGGTGACACCTGACCTCCAATCTCCTGCTATAAGGCCAGAGGAAAGCATCCAGCTGCACATAGCTCAGCCTACAATCCAGGGAAGGGGCCTGAGCTGGTGTTCCCACTGACTGCCCCCTGTCCATATGGTCTGAACCCCAGTTCATAGTCCTTCATTAGAAACTGTAAAATATTGTACCAAAAAAAAAAAGTCTAATATTTCAAGAAGTCACTTAAGGGAGAATTGATTCCATAAATAGCAACTAAAAAGCTGGAATTCTTTGGGCCCATCTATGCAGCTAACAGCTATTGAGGCTACAATGTTTATTTGTACCAAGGAATTTTAATAGTTTCTTTTAGAAAGATAAAGAAAAAAACCTCACATCCTCTACCATGTAAGGGAAAAAAATACAAATATAAAAACTCTTTTCCCTACCTAAAAATGACATTATTCTCTTCTCTTGGGCCAAGCCAAATATAGTCAACAACAAGCAAATGTTACTTTTTCTCTCTCAAGTACATACACAAAATTCAGGAAAGATTGGTGCAAATTATTTCTCTGGAATAATTTCAAAAGCTCAGATTGCAAACTTTAAAAGTTGCTAAATATATCGCAGGCTCCTCTAGCAAAGTCACTGCATTATTCCCAGAAATCCTGGCTGAATCCCAGATCCTTGAGTGCAGATCTGTGGTTCACTCATCTTTGAATCCCCACCACAATAAATACAATACACAATACTACCACAATATGGGCACATAATAGAAGCTCAATAAATTTTTGTTAAACTGAAGGAAATTACATCCCAATAACTTAATATTCACTTCCTAGCTTCAATGGCATCACGGTGTAGCAGTGTCTCTAGTCTCAAACCCTATTATAATACTATACTCCTCCATAAAACTGAGGTATACAGAGAAACAACTATACTCCCTGCCATTATAAGATCCTTCTATTCAGAGTAAAAATGTTGTTTGGTTAAAGATATTTTTAAAACGCCATATAGAAAGGTGTAGCCAAAGAAGATTACTATAGGTTTTACTACCCTGTCCAGGTGTTTTTGTTTTGTTTTCAATTTCATATCCCCTAAAGGGGAAAAAGCACATTTAAAAAATAAAACAACAGATGGTTTACTCCAGCATCTCCTTCGAAGCTGCCAAAAGTGAACTAATCATACACTGAAGCAGCACAGACATCTACATTTTCTGTTTACAAGTGTACTCAAATTAGACACAAACCTTTACAGCTCCAAGTTGCTCTTTTCTGAATTTTTCCAAGGGCTTAATCAGGGTTTCAGTTACACTTAATGCCTGGAGAACAAGAATAACAAAGAGCACAGTGTTAGGTTTCCAAAAAGGAAAAAATTAGTATCTCATTTCCCTCTTCCACCCCCACCCAAAATAAAGTGAACACCATATTTAACTGCTTTATGGCACCTTGCCAATGTGATAATTAAACCATTTCTCAACTTATTAAAGCACTAGAACTCCATAAATATTTTTAGGGAACAGGAGGTGGGGCATATCGTGGGTGAAACGTGCAACACAGCCCTGATACTCTTCCAGGAAATAGCAAGAGGGCTGTCTCTGAGCGACAAAGGGGTCTATCACATTCATTAACAGAACACTTCTGTTTGAGACTTTTTTTCCTTCCCCCTCCTCATAAATTTAAAATGCAATTACATTCCTTTATTGGTAATCAGACTACATTATGTAAATGGCTAGGATTGTGGCTACCCATTTAAATACAGCCAGTCTATCCTTCATTACTGAAGATTCCTCATAAGGACTTAAGTTATATTGGCAAAGCACAGTCACTGTAGGCTAAAAAGAAAGTCAGGGCAAATACTTGGGCATGCTGGCAAACATGACGTAAGGAGAAGGTCGACATGACAGGGGCCACACTAACTCCATCCACAAGTATATTCATTTCTTATACAGGCTGGTGTGGGGCTTTTCATTTTAAGCCACAAAATGCTGAAAGTGCAAATAAAGGGAAATAATCCTAATGAGAACGTACTTAACAATATGCTGGTGAGTAGTGGCTTTCTCACCCTCTATTTAGAGAAGACCAGAAATATCTGTAATAGAAAAAGAAACCTCAAAACACTAACAAGAATGTGCCATCCTCTTTTTACAAATGCCTCCAAAAACCCAAGCTTAAAATTACAGAAAAACAATAAAATAAGTGACTCAGAACAGGAAAGGATTCTTAATTTAACCAAAGGCCCCTTTGCAATATTTCACTATGTAAAGGTTTCTCCCAAAGAGACCATTCACACTGTAAGATAAGAGACATGCCCACACTCAAGATGCCTAGAGTTTGAACTTTCTATCCCAGGCTGGCTCCTGGGTTCCACTCACTATCACTGGGATAATTTGTTACTTGAGTGGGAAAGAGCCAGGGGTAACAGAGATCTAAAAGGAGGAATTAAGAGTAAAAACTAACCAGGGAAAAGGATCATCTTCAAAAAATATTCATTCTATCCTCTCTACATTTTAGACCACGTGACCTACAACAATGGCAAGAACGGAGCAGGGACAAAGCAGCCCAGGCCAGGAATCCTGACTACCCAAATAATAGTCAATGCCCAAATTCCACCTGGGAAAGCAGATATGAGAAGTGCTGCCATCCATCTTCAAGGTGATCCAATTTACACACAGTGGCTCAAATTAATTTAAAGCATACTTAGGGCCAAGCCCGTGGCACACTCCGGAGAGTGCGGCGCTGGGAGCGCAGCGACGCTCCCGCTGCACGTTCAGATCCTATATAGGAATGGCCGGTGTGCTCACTGGCTGAGCGCGGTGTGGGCGACACCAAGCCAAGGGCTGAGATTCCCTTACCAGTCACGAAAAAAAAAAAAAAGACAAAAATAAATAAAAAATAATAAATAAATAATAAAGCACACTTAAATGAGGGCCTGTAGCATTTTCTAAGCTTCTACATCTGTATCTATCCTACTAGTGTTCCTAAATAAACCTGCATACAACACATCTTCTATGGAGGCTGACATGCTCAACAAAGAAGTCAGCCCAGCATTAAATGGTGGGATCACAGGGGCTAATATCTGCTCAAGTTCACAGAAGATACAAACAGGGATTCAAAATCATGTAAGTCTGAACCCAAGCTTAACCACCATACAATATTGCAATAAAAGTAGCAAACGAGTACTTTCCCATTCAAAGAAGCCATCTTAATAAACTCTGTATTTCAAAATACAAATATTCACTGAGCATCCAGTGCCAGCTGACGGGGATACAACTATGAACAAAATAAACCCAGCCTCCCGCCCCCGTGGAACTTAGTGTTTAGTAGGGCGGACATACAGTGGATATATGAACACATAGGTAGACACATATTTGCAAATTCTAGTAATTCTTTCCAATAGGGAAAGGTAGGATTATGGTGAGGAATTTATTAGAGGAGGTATAAGGAGCAATGTGCTCAGGGAGGGCTTCATCAAAGACTTTAAGCGAAGACCTGAGAGATGAGAAGGAATTCACAGTGCGAAGAGCAAGAGAAATTGTTTCCAGCCTGAAACCAGCAGAGGCAAAGGGTTGAAGTAAGAAGGAGTTCGAGCTTGAACAGAAATGGCAAAAGGCCAGTGTGGCTGAGCATAAGGAATAATGCAGTGAACAGAAAGAGGTAAGTGACGGCGGGGACCAGAGCATGCCAAGCCTGCAGCCCAAGGAAAAGAGCTACCGTTTTATCCGGGTACCATGGAAAGACACTGAAGGGTTTTTAAGCAGGTAACTGACACAACAATAATTAGATCTTTTAAAGATTACTCTGGCTGCTCTGAGAAAAAAAGATCAGAGATGCAGAAAACTGAAAGAAGAGACACTTGCTAGGAAGCTTCTAGAACAGTACAGGCAGGAGATGATGGTGTCTCAGATGAAGGTAGTGACAGCAGAAATAAACAGCAGTAGACAGATCTGGGAGGTATTTGCAGGTGGAACCAAAGTAATAAGTGATGGACTGAATGTGGAAAAAGTGGAGATTTCCAGGATCACTCCCAGATTTTTGGCATGAGCAACTGAATAGGTAAGAATATTATTTATTGAATCAGGAAAATCTTGAGGAAAAGCAGCTGGGAGCACGCACTAAGAGCTCATGTTAAATTGCAGAAGCTGAGACACCCAAGATTTTAGTAAAACAGGCTGTCTGAGACATAGGTCCACAGCCCAGAAGAGAAGTGTAGATCAGAGACATAAGCTTGGGAGTCATTAGCAAGTAAATGGCATTTGAGGTCATGGAAACAGACAGGTATGATGCGGTAGAGGAAAGAGAAAAAAAAAAGTCCCAGGCCAAGCCCTTCGGTCAGGAAAAGGAAGATGAGGAGGAAAAGATGGCAATGAGACTGGGAAGAAGCTACTGGGGTGCTGGATGAAAGAAGAAAGGGGGTTCAGCTATGTGAATTACAGAAAAGTTAAGGAAGAAATGTGACCTTACAAAATCCATGGAAAGCTGGGAGAAAGGGCCAGGCTGGGCGTGATTTTTGAGTGAAAGGTGAGAACATTTAGGAAACAACACTTCCTTAAAAGGATGACCATGAAGGGACAGTACAAGAGAAAACGACTGCTGAAAGGCAACACAACGTAGAGTAAAGGTGTGTTTCTTATTTTCTTTCTTTTATTTTTCTAAGATAGAAGGTGGGTATTTAAGAAATGAGAGCATGTCTAAATGCCCACGTGAAGAATCCAGAAAAGATGGTTGAGTCTCTAATGTGGGAGGAGATGGGGAGCAGACCTTGCATGGAGGGTTGGCCTGTCATAGGAGTAAACATCCTTCCTTCTGAAAGTAAGGAGGAAACAGGTGTCAATACAAAAAAGTCTGCAGACTTCATGAAGAAAAGCTGAAAAAGTTGCTACTCAATGGTTCTTTATTCTGCGAAGTGCAAGGTCACTTAAAAGAGCCTGGGGGTGGGAAGAAGTTTGAATAGAGATGCGAATGAATGAAAGAATCATTACAAACAGTGGGAGAAGCACTTTCTAGAGAAACACAGACATTCCTGGGCAGAGCTGAAGGCCCTTTTGAGATAGGTGAGCAGAAATTTATAAGAACGTCCATCTGCCTTGTTGTTGGATTTTCTCGAGCAACGAAGGGAGAAGGTAGGTAACTGGGTTCATTTGGTGAGAGTATTTCCAAGAGATGGAAGCATGTCAGCATAACATGGCAT